TGGAAAAAAGTCAATTGATTCAGAAGAAATCAATTTTAATGCTCTTGTTGAAGCTATTAAATTGTGTTTATTTGATAGTCATATTTTGGCGAATAAATATTATTATTTAGTATATAATAATATATATTATTAATATATTTAATTATTTCTACTAAACATAACGTTTTATGTCAAACTTATTAAATTTTAGCAATTTTTAATGAGTGTCTCACAACTGGAGACATTTTTTTTTTTGAAAAAAGCGATGTGCTCGGAAAATGTATCGTAAAATTTTTTGAGTTCATCGAAACACTATACTTTCTTTTAATAAAAGTTGTGTATTTCTGTTACCTTTCGAACGGTATATTTTATTTACAATTTCGTTTGACCGTTTACAATTTACGGGTCAAAAATGAAACCCGTCTCACAACTGGAGACTCTCCCCTACATTTTTTTAATGAATTCAATTATTTTCATAAAAAATAATTTAAAATTCTAGAAAATAATAATTGAATTAAAATGATAAAAATAATTTTGATAAAGTTACAGTAACAATATTCTTATAATATAAAATAATGACTTTATCTCTCGGTCATTTTTAATTATTATAAAACATGAAGAAATCGATCACTCCGAGTCTTCGACTCGGAGTCTATCTTCATGTTTTCTAACAATATTTATATTTTGTTTAATTTCAAAAAGGTTTAAATTTGAAATTTTTGAATGTCTTAATTCCTGTGAAAAATCCTGTTACAAAAATAAGATTAAAAATAGAAATTGTGCAAATATTTTTCTTCTTTTTCTAAAACAAAATAATAATTTTGTTAAAAAAATTGTGATTCATAAACAAAAATAATGCAAAATAAATAAATTTTCTATTTCTTAATCACAGTTGCTTAACAATTTTCTAATTTTGTTTAGAAATAAAGAACAAAAATGTGCATAATTTCAATTTGACAAAACATAATATTTAACAAAATTTTAGTCTTTTAGTGAAAAGAAGTTAAAAAAATTCTGATGATTTCTATTTGTCATTACAATTTTGAATTAATTATAAAATAAATATAATTATAACATTCATTAATAATAATAAACACTACATTTTCCAGTAATCTGTTCGCAGTTTGAAGTTAGTTGATGTTTACTTTTTTGTTTCTTAACTTTTTTATAATTTTTCTTTTCAAATATTTTCAATTTTTAAATTAATGTTTGGAAAATTATCGAATTGTTGCAAAGAATTTTATCAAAAAATTTGATAATAATAGAATTCCTTCAAAGAATTTTATTATTTAGGAAAATAACTGAATTGTCGCAAGAATTTCATTAAAATTTTTAAAAATCCTAATTAAATTCTTTTAAAGAATTTCTTTGAATTTTTTTTAAACTAATGGAGTTTCTTTAATAATTTTAATTGAAAATTTTGAAAGCAATTGACTTTTATGAAGAAGAATTTTATTAAAATTGAATTGAAAATAATTGAATTGTTCCAAAGAATTTCTAAAAATTTTAGAAAATAAATTAATTTTATGGTTATATTTGAAAATTTAAATTCTTTCGAGGAATTCTATTAAAATTGTTTTGAAAAGATTTGAATTTCTATAAAGGATTTTAGTATTTATTAAAAGAATTGAATTTTTTCGAGAAATTCAATTAAAATTGTTTCGAAAATAATTGAATTTCTTTAAAAAATTTCATTAAAATTAAGTATATTCAAAATAATTGAATTCACCACAAGAATTTTATTATTTTTTGAAAATAATTTAATTCTTTCAATTTTTTTGACGAATATATTTACAATTTGCATTAAAAGTAATTTAATTTTTATATAGAATTTTTAAAAAATATTTTGAGAATAATATTGAATTATATTTAGAGAATTTTAAATTCTTGTTGAAATTGAATTTTATGGAAATTTTTGAAAATAATTAAATTCTTTCGTGTAATTTTATTTAAATTTGATAAAAAATAATTTAATTCCTGAAAAGAATTTTTGTATTTATAAAAATAGTTTAATTGTTTCGAAGAATTTATTAAAATTTTAGGAAATAATTGAATTTTATGGAAATATTTTAAAATATTTGAATTCATCCGAGGAATTCAATTAAAATTGTTTTGAAAATAATTGAATTCCTGCGAAGAATGTTACTATGTATAAAATTAATTGAACTTTTGCGAAGAATTTTACTATTTATAAAAAATATTTGAATTTTTTCGAAGGGTTTTTTAAAATTTTAGAAAAAAATTAAATTTTTTCAAAGCGTGTTATAATTTTTTAAAAAACTGAATTCTTCCGAGGAATTCAATTAAAATTGTTTTGAAAATAATTGAATTTTTGTAAAGATTTTACTATATTTAAAAAAATAATTGAATTGTTTAGAAGGATTTATTAAAATTTAAAAAAAAATGGAATTCTATCGTGAAATTTTATTAAAATTTTTGAAAATATGAACAGTAGTAATAATTAATTTTGTACTTAATAAGTGAGTTTTTAAAATTTTGAATATGAAATTATTGAAAAAATTTATATTTGAAAATAAAAAATTTTGTAATTTGCATAACAATAATAAATTGAATATCACGTTCTGCGCGTAACGTTTGCTAATAACACAGGTCAACAAAAAAAGACTTACTTTTTTTTATGAGATAGCGGAATGGTTTCCTATGTATTTTTGGACGCTGAACACGATCCCGACTTCCAAAATTGCCCATCACGTCAGGATTTTGAGAAAAGTGGGGGTAAAGACCCCAAAAACGCTTTTTTGAGAAATTTCAACATTTATTTTCTCTTTAACCTGACGTGCTAGAGACTTCCACAAGGTCTTAAATTAAAGCTTATAATGTGCACTAAAAGACCAATATCCATAAAATAAAAAAAAATAAAATTTTTTTTCAAAAAATGGGATTGAAGACACCAAAAATTTGTGTTTTTGGATTGCTTTAATAGACTTTTTGCAATTGCTTGGATTCGCATGAAAATGGTTACTTGGGGTTTTTGGGGTCACTGATTACGAATCCGATATTAGTTTGCAAAAATTAAAAATGTCGGATTCGTAATCAGCGACCCCAAAAACCCCAAGTACCCATTTTCAAGCGAATCCAAGCGATTGCAAGAAGTCTATTAAAGCAATCCAAAAACACAAATTTTTGGTGTCTTCAACCCCATTTTTTGAAAAAATTTTTAATTTTTTTTTATTTTATGGATATTGGTCTTGTAGTGCACATTACAAGCTTTAATTTAAGACCTTGTGGAAGTCTCTAGCACGTCAGGTTAAAGAGAAAAGAAATGTTGAAAATCTTCAAAAAAGCGTTTTTGAGGTCTTTACCCCCACTTTTCTCAAAATCCTGACGTGATGGGCAAATTTGGAAGTCGGGATCGTGTTCAGCGTCCAAAAATACATAGGAAACCATTCCGCTATCTCATAAAAAAAAAGTAAGTCTTTTTTTGTTGACCTGTGTAATAATATAATATACAATATCTATCTAAAGTTAACAAAAAACAAAAGTATAAAAAAGACAATTTCAGAGTATGACGGACAAAAAAAGTGAATGAATGAAAGAACATTCAAATTATTATAGTTTATTTATTACTATTGTTATAAAAATGTTTTTATTAATAATTTATCACACTTAAATAACCATATTATTTGATTCAAGTAAATATTTATTCGCATCAGATAATTTTTTTTTCAGTGTGATAAATTATTAATGTAAAAATTAATAATAATAATAATAATAAATATATATTTGACTATTATATGCATATAAATGTGTGTGGTATAACGATACATGGAAGTGGGCACGTATTATTTGCGTGTCTCTATAGTTGTGGCGCTTAAAAGGCGCATTGTGTAAAGTAATCTATTTATTGAAAAAAGTATATCGTTCAGAATCGCCGATCGAGGATTTACTCGACGATTTAAATAAAATTCGTTCGAGCAATTTACAGTAGAGTGGACGACCATCATAGCCGGTTGCACACGAGTTTCGTGACTGGAAATTTTTACTGGTTTGACTCAAAACTATTTTTCAAATCAAAGAAAGCTTTCAAATACCGCAAAGTACCACTCATGCTTTTTCTTTTCTTCAATTTATAAATTCACATCAGATATTTTACAAGAACTAACATTTTTTATCGCTATTTCTCCACTTCAACCTCAATATTAACAATGACCAAAAAAAATAATAATAATGAATATTTACAATTGCAAAAGATGTTAATAATAATAATAGAAATGAAAAGAATAATAATAGTGGTTCTAGTAGCAGTACTAGTAGTAGGAATAATAATAATAATAATAAAATAATTTCTATACTCCTTTCTCAAGTAGATAAATAAATAAATAAATAAATAATTAAAAAAAAATTATAATGTTAATTTAGCTTCGAGAAATAAAAATTTAATAGTAATTAAGTATATAATATAGATAAAATTATTGACAGTATTGTTATCATTGTCATACTTATAATTATAATTTATTATTCACAATAATTTATAAAAGATACTAAAAATTTTAATTCCCTTTTAAATAATCTTTCTACAAAAATACCGTAACGTAATTGCCAAAAATATTTGTTTAAATGTTTATATTTTAGCAAATATTAAAAACAAATAAAACAGAATAAAAATGATACGAATTCTAGAGGAAAGCAAACAAAAAAGAAATTAATAAAATTAAAATTTTAATCTAATAAGAAAGAAGAAAAAAAAGAAAAATTAATAGGGGCCTAAAATTAATAATATAGTTTAATTAATTTAATAGTTTAATAGTTCAATAGTAATAGTTTAATAGTAATAGTTTAATTAATTATAAATTAATTTTAATTAGTTATTAATTACCAATTATTAATTATTAATAATTATTAATTAATATTATTAATATCAATAAAATAATAAAATAAATGAAAAATTAAGGAAAAAATCGAATGAGACAAATATGATAAAATATAACAAACAGAACGAACATAATTTGCAATTTAAAATAATAATTAAATAAAATTAAATTTCCATAAAATTAAATTACTTTTAGTTGTTGTTCCTCTTCGTCCCTTTTTTCCAAATGAGAAATAAATAAAATCCAATATTTCACTGACCAAATACCAAAAACTCTTGATACGAAAAAAGTATTTTTCTTATTGCAAAACTATTTTTTTCAAATCAAATTTTCAAAAAAAATTAAAAACTATTTTTGAATTTAATACGATGATTGAAAATTGGCAAATAGAAATTAACAAAAAATCAGTCGAATCATGCTCAATCGACTGTCCGGGACGAGAGCGGTCGCGCGACTGAAAACTAAAGACTGCTTTACACTCGCAGCATCCCTATCAGCGACCTTCCACAGGAAACGTTAGTCATCCCCTACTCTTTGCGCTTTTCTCCATCTTCAGATCCTAATACTCTCCCTTTATTTATTTTTTTTTTAATATATAGATACCATTTACTTCCGCCTATCTGTCCCTTTTGATTTTTTTTCCCTCTCTCATAATATAATATTGTACCTTGCATGATAAACATCACAAAAATTGTTCCACATTTTTCAACAAGTGCGACTTCATTTTACATTTTTCCCCACATAAAGTATTATCACTCATCGAAAAAAAAGTAAACAGAAACTTAAAAAAAAAAATTATAATCTCCGGAGAAAAAAAATTACTAAGCGAAAAATGATGGCAATTTGTTTAAGATACTTAAAAATTATGCGTCATAAAATCATTTTTATATAGCTCAAGAATTTAAATATACACGTTCAATGTAAATTTAATTTTTCTCTTCAAATTTTAATATATTGAACAAAAATTTCATTGAATTAAATTTAAAATTTTTAATAAAATGAAATTTTATATTGAAAATTATTTTTTAATATAGTAAAAAAATATAGTTGTTTAAAAGAAATTTTTTTCTAAAATAAAATTTATTACAAAAAATATTTTTTTTTCTTGAAAAATAATAATATGAAAATTACAATCGTTATTTATGTGAAGGAAATATAAAAATGTTTATAAAAATTATAATTTTGCTATCAAGTAAATAAACAAAATTTCCGGTTTATAACAACTCTGATTTTTCTCGTCTTTAACACTCGAGAAGAAAGCTGGTGATAATTAATAAAGCCATGAACTAATTATTCTAACTATAGCAATTAATCAAGCAGAAAATGTCAGTAAAATATAACTGAAATAATAGCCATGGGATAATAATAATAATAATAATAATAATAATAATAATAATAATAATAATAAAAATAGATATTATTATTATTGTTAATAAATAATTGTAATAACAAATAATAATTATTATGTTTTAAATTATGATATCTAGTTTATTTACGTTTATTTACGGACCAGCTGACAAAAATAGAATCAGACCGAATCAAATAAGAGAATATTTTACTTAAAACTAGAAATTCAATTTTTCATAACTATAAAACATGAAAAAATCGATAACTCCGAGTCTTCGACTCGAAGTCATCGATTTCTTCATGTTTTATAATAATTAATAATAATTATTAATAAAAATAATTTATAATAATTAAAATCATTATCAATTTAATTATTATTTTTAAGAATTTTTATATCTAAAATTCTTCCTTATATCGATTATTTCTAATAATTTTCGAAAAAGTTCTTTGACAATTTTCAAATTCATTTCTTTACAATATTCAATTTTACAAAATTTCAATTATTCGTAAATTCTTTAATTAAATAAATATTAGAAAATAGAAACTAAAAATAATATTTAAAAAAATCAATTAAACTTTTTCAAAAAAATTAATTACAAAATTCAATTATTTTTTTAAATTCACGCTCTATTGCATGTAATGTTCAATTATTATCTAAAATTTTAACTGAAATTCATTTTTATGAAATGAAAATCAATTTTTATTAGAAAATTCTACTAGAATTCAATTATTTAAATACAAATTTAAATGCAAAAATGCAAATAAATAATTCATTGAATAATTAAGCGTTTCTTAAAATTCAATTCCCATAAAAAATCGTTATCAACAAATTTTCAAATAATTGAATTCTATCAACGAATTTTTAATAAAATTTTTAAGAATAATTACATTTTTCGACAAAATTCGATTAAAATTGTATTAAAAATAAATAAAATATTTGAAATTCTGCATTGAATTTTATTATTTATGAAAATAATTGAATTCTTGCGAAGAATTTTATTAAAATTTTCAAAAATAATTAAATTCTTGTAAAAAATTAACAGGAATTGAATTATTTTAAAAAATTTTAATAAAATTCTTGGCATAAATTAAAAATAACAAAATTCTTAGCATATCTTCAATTACTTTAAGAAATTTTAATAAAATTTTTCGCAAGAATTTAAATATTTTCGTAAAATAATAAAAATCTTTAGAGAGATTCAATTATTTTCAAAAGTCTTAATAAAATTCTTCGCAAGAATCCAATTATTTTTTAAAATATCATAATTTTAGCAGAAATTCAAACATTTTAAAAAGTTTCGATAGAAATTTTTTTTGGTAGAATTTTAATTATTTTTAAGACAATTTTAAAAAAATGTCTCGATAAAATTCAATTATTTTTAAAATTTTAATAAAATTCTTCGAAAGAATTCAATTATTATAATCTGATATTTTAATTGAAATCTATTTTTAAATCAATGTTTATGAGAAAATTCTACCAGAATTCAATTATTTAAATACAAAAATAAATAATTTATTGAATAATTAAATGTTTCTTGGAATTCAATTCCCATTAAAAATATTATCAACAAATTTTTAAATAATTAAATTCTTTGGACGAATTTTAATAAAATTTACCAGAAGAATTACATTTTTCGAGGAATTCGATTAAAATTCTATTGAAAATAATTGAATTTCTAAAAGGAATTATATTATTTACGAAAATAATTGAATCCCCGTAAAGATTTTATTATTTATGAAAATAGTTGAATGAGTGGGAAGAAATTTATAAAAAAATTTGTTTTTAATGAAATTCTTGTGAAATTTTTATTATTTTTTGAAAATAATTAAAAGTTTTTGTAGAATTTTATTGAATTTTTTTTTAAATAATTAAATTCTTTTGATAAATTTTATGAAAATAGTAGATATTGAACAATATTTAATTTTTGCGAAGAATATTATTACTTTTGAAAATAATTGAAATTTTGCAATGGATTTTAATAAAATTTTTGAAAATAATTGAATTTTGTCGAAGAATTTTGCTATTTATTTATAAAGATAATTGAAATGTTGACAATGTTTTTTAGATTTTTTGAAAATAATTGAATTTCTGAGAAGAATTTTAATATTTCTAAAGATAATAATTGAAATTTTGACGAGAATTTAAAAAAATTTTGAACATAATTGAATTTTTGCGAAGAATTTTACTACTTTTGAAAATATTTGAATTTCTGCAATCATTTGTAATTTCTCTAAAATTCTCAAAATTATATCGTTCAATTTACGAACTATTCATCCTTTTTGAATGAAATTACAGACTTTACGGACCTTTTTTCAAAAAAACGGACTTTTACGGACTTCAAGCAAAGTTACGGACTTTTACGGGATTTACGGACCTACTTTGAGCCCTGAAATAATTATAATTGTTATTGTAAACAATGAACAATAGAACAATAATTATTACCGTAAACAAAAAAAATAATACTTTCTCCATGAGAAGGCAATAATAAACAATTGTAAGTAATAAAGAAATAAAATAATAATAATAGTAATTCAACATAAAATAAATTCAATCAATGAAAGACAGAAAAAAATTAAACAATGTTTTTCAAGTTGCAACGTTAAAAATAAAAATTGTACTGAAAACTAAAAATTTTGATTCCGATTGTAGAAATAGAAAAAATGTTTCAATAAATAATTAAATTGCATTAAAGTCTCTCTCTCTCTCAATCAAATGCAAATTTAAGAAAAAAAGCCAGCAAAAATGAGAAGAGGATCAGGTGTCATGACCTCGAATTTCAGAAATAATGATCCCAAAGTAGGATAGTTATACTTGAAAAGGCTTGACTTTAAATCTGATACGTGACCCCTTAACGATCGCACAATGACTCCTAAAAAGGACTTATAAAATAGAAGTTGTAACCTGTAATACTTAAACAATGACTCAATACTTTATTAATAACTTATATGCGATTATATATAAATTATTGTAATTTACAAATATTTAGAAATTTACTATTTTATTCATTTAGTATTTTCCTTTTGTTTATTTAGTGTTTTGTTTTTTACTATTTTGTTCATTTAGTATTTACTTTTTGTTTATTTATTGTTTTGTTTGTTTACCATTTTTTATTGACTATTTTGTTTATTTTCTATTTTTTTTTAGTTTTTTTTTTACTATTATGTTTATTTTCTATCTTTTTTACTATTTTATTTATTCACTATTTCATCTACTTACTATTTTACTATATTTCTTACTATTTCCAATTTTTTATTGTGTTCATCAGTATCACCATTTCTTTTTTATTATTACATAGAAAATTAATTCGAAAAAAATTACTTTTTTACAAAGTATCATAGAAATCACTTTTCTCTATATTGGTATTATTCATATATACACATTGTATCAAATATGAAATATTAATTACAAGAGATTTTACGAGCTTGCAGGAAATCCTCTCTTTCAATGTATAATATCATTAACTTTTTTTTCCACCAGAGAGTCGAGAGAAATGTTCGAATTCAAACAAAAATTCAAAGTTTGTACATTGAAAATCTTTATCCGAAAGGTTCACGAAAATGATTGCATTACAGTTTTTTTTTGCGAATAAATTTACCAACGGAATATAATTCAAAGTTAGTTAATTAATTACTCACAGAACCGTGAATAATAATATTATTCACGTATAATATTATAATATCTGTAATTGTCATCTCTAAAAATATAACATTGGACCAAAAATATTCAATCAGCATTGATACCTATTTATATTTATATGATACCTATTTTAATTGTATTAAAAATAATTGAAATTCAGCGTTGAGTTTTATTATTTATGAAAACAATTAAAATAATAATACTTAATAAAATTTAAATTTTTTTAACAAATTGAATTTTTTTTAGGAATTTTTATAGTAGTAGATATTAAAAATCATTGAATTGAGAAAAGTTTTTGAAAATAATTAAAAATTTTGCCAAGAATTTTATTAAAATTTTTGAAAATAATTGAATTTTCGAGAAGAATTTTACTACTTTTGAAAATAATTGAATTTCAGCAATAATTTGTAATTGCTTCAAAATTCAATTTGTTTTAGTGTTTTTAACTAAAATTCTTCTTTAAATCCATTATTTTTAATAAAACAAGTTAAATATATATATTATAAAAAATTTAACTATAATTTCAGAAGAATTTTAGTTTTAAATTTTTTTTTAACTTAAGTATTTTTATATTTCTAATTAAATTCATTTAAAATGGAAATTGTACAAAATTTTTAATCAAAATCTGTTAAAGTTCATCAACTTATGAAAATTGTAAACGCAATTCTTTTAAAATTGAATTAATTTTGAAATATTTAAGTAAAATTAGATTTCAAGAATAAACAGAATAACTTTAGAAAACAACAATTTTCCAGGATTTCGATCAAAATCAAAATTAGAATAAATATTCGGACTGACAAAACATTAGTTCTAGAAAAAGTTTTAAACATTGGAAAAATGTGTCTAGGTATAAAACTACAAAAAAAAATCTAAGGGATTTATAGTTGCAACTTATAGCTGCAAACTATAAGAAGGATTACAAAATAGTTCGGTAAAGTCTATTTTCAATAAAACACTACTAATTCAAAAACCGATAAATCAAAACTATCCAAATACTTTTACCACCATTTTTGAAAAATTGAAACTTAATATTAACTTTTTAATTATTTCTTAAAAATTCCATTCTTTATAAAAATTTAAATTAACAAAGAATTCAAAACTTAATCATTTTTTCAGAAATCTGAATATAAATTAAATCTTTCTTTTCGAAATTTTAAATTAATTTTTCTTTTAGAATCATTTTTTCAAGCACAATAAATAAATATCTATTTCTATTACGCACCTGACTAATTTCTAGATTAAAATTGATGATTAAAATAAAGAAAAGAAAAAAAAATCATCAAACATGATAAGAGGGCAGCTGATTGATGAGAAAATGAGTTTTTCAAACGGATCTAGTCGAGAGGCATCGTGCTCAAAGTTCGCTATATAGTAATGAACTGTTACGAATATGAAGTGGTCAGTACACAGATTCACACACAAACATAAATCAAAGTAGTAAAAAAAAAGAAACTCGTCATACACAGCATAATAGCTCAAAATATGATGGGTATCGGCTCTTTCTAAACAAAAACAAAAAAAAAAATGTAAAAACCCGAACTATTGTGCAACTTTGTATTCAACGGTCATTGAACCAAGAATTCAAAGAATCAAAAATAAGTGGTTAGAAGAATGATCCTTCAAGTTAATATCTTTCAACTATTTCTTTAATTAATATTTAAATTTTCAGTTATTATTGAAAAAGAATTCTATACCGAAAAAAAGTTAATTAAAAAAATATATGGCCCTAAGGAAACAATTTCAAAAATTCCATCACTTTTGTGTAAATAAATTAAAAATTAAAAATAGAAATTAATTTTCAGAATATTTTTATGTGAAATTCTTCTAAAAATAGACAATATAAATTTAAATAAATAAATTATTAAATACTACAGAGTGATAAATTCAAATTAATATTATTACAAACAAATAAATATTCGACTAAATATAAAAGTAAAATACAATAAAAAAAATAACATAAATATAATAAATAAAATTAAGTAAATTCTATAAAAAGTACACTGAAAAAAATTCTTAGTAGATTTGACTACTTTTTAACTACTTTCCTTAGTTCAATAAGTCCCCAAAGATAATTTTGAACTTACATTAATTATCAGATATGTAGTTGAATGAAGTGATAATACAGTTACATTAACTACTTTTCTTAGTTAAATAGGAACCAATGACAGTTTTGCAGTAGAATTAACTGCTGATATATAGTTAAAGTTACTAAGATAACTCAGTAATAAAGTAACTACTGAAAATGGTAAAATAAAATTATTTATAATTTATTATAAATATTATCGAGTTGTATTTTTTTATATTTCCCCCTACCCACTTTTGTTTACCTATATACCTTATTTATTTAATGTCTATATACCTAACGGAGAAAAATCTCTAAACGTTGGGAGTTGAACGCTCGACCCTAACATTCGTAAACCGATAACCCAACCACCTAACCACGCTCGCCCGCTTCGATGAGTTGCTTAATACTTAAAGGCATTCCAGACACAGTTCAACTGATAACTGTAGTTAATTTTACTACTTAAAGTAGTTGCATTTACAACTTTTCACAGTTGATAATCTTCTATAAAAATCTATAACATAAATTACATGGAAAATAATTCAACTCCTAGAAGAAGTAAAAACTACTACAAAATTAGTCTATCGAACTACTTTAAGTAGTAGAATCTACTACTTTCTGTAGTCATTTCTATAACATACCTGCAGTTACAAAGTTAACTGTAAAATTACATTAATTTAATTAATAATTTTTAACTACATAAAACAGTTAAAATAAGTATCAAAAGTAGCCAGACTAACTAAAAAAGTAGTTCGTTTTATTACTTTTTACTCTACTAAGGGGATGTAGTTGAAAATGTCTCATGTATTTTTTTCAGTGTAATCTAAAAAGTAGAACATATTTGTTATACATTATATAATTTTTTATTTATTTTATTATTTATTATTTATTTTTTTTTTTTTTATTTTTTATTTTTTTTTTACTTAAGGAAGAAAAATATTCTCAATTTCAGAATTTCTTTCCCTTCCTTCAACTAATTTTTAAGAAAATTTTTGCTAACTTTTAAACACACCTTTCAGCTTAAAGGTACGTAATTCTAGCTTTATGTAAACGGAAAAGCTCTTTACGAAGATGGCCAAGTTTCAAATTTCCAATACTTTCTAGAATTTCAAAAAAAAAAATTCTCTAAACTACTTAATACTAACACTGTATCAGTAAATTTTATATTCTCTTGATTTTTACATTTATCACAAAAATATTAGCAACACACAAAATACTAACAATTACACAAAACATATTTACATTTACACAAAAAATATTAATAATTTATAAACAAATTTTATTTAATTCATATACATTTTTTATTTCATTTTTTTCATTTTTTTTTTTTAATTTTTTTTATTTTTTATTTTTTTTTTTTTATTTATTTATTTTTTTTTTTATTTTTTTTTATTTATTTTTTTTTCTTTTTTATTAATTAATAATTAATAATTAATAATTTATTATTATTTACACAAAAATTTATCTCAAAAACAAATGAAAATTTTTCTCGAAAAAAAAACAAGAAAAATTTCTTATGAAAAATGTTGACTTCAAATTAATCATCTTTTTCTTCTATTTTGTTTTACTTTTTTCCCTTCAAATTGCGAAAGCATTTATCAAATTGCAAAAACGTTAAGGGAATCTCGTTATGACGTTAAACGCACAACGATCGAAAAGTTTTTTGATTGATTTATCAACCTTTCGTATCCAAAAATTAGTTCCACAAAAAACTTTTACCGGAAATAAAGTTTTTTCTTAATCGAAATAATTTATTTTTGTCTTTTGAAAAATTAATTTCTGCATCAATATTAATATTATTAATAATATCAAAATAGAGAATTGTATATTAATATAAATTAATTCTAATTAATACAAATTAATTTTATTTTATTTCTATTATTCAGAGAAAATAGTAATTAACGATTAATTAAATTATAATATAATTAATAATTAATAAATTAAATAAATAATGAAATATATTAATATAAAAAATGTTTAAAAGTATTATAAATAAAGAATGTAATAATAACAATAGGTTAAATATATTTTTATTATTATTGCTACTATTATTATTGTAATTATTATTATTATTATTATTATTATTATTATTATTATTATTATTATTATTATTATTATTATTATTATTATTATTTGTTACTGTTATTGTTATGGTTATATTATTGTTATTATTATTCTAAGTTTAATATTAATTAATATAAAAATCGTATTTGTTGTATTATGATAGCATTAAAATATTTAACTTTGTGAGGATTCGAACGCATGACGACCACGCACGGCCTCATTTTCATTTCTCAATGCTTTAACGACCGCGACCGACGCAGATTCTAAATCAATAACAAATAAATTAACAGACGCCAAATTATATATTTAATGTAATTTAGTATTATATTATCATTATTTTTATTATTTTTTCTAAAATTTCACATTTACAGTTATTAAATTAGCATAAATTAATAAAAACTAAAGAAAAACTGTCTTTAGAAGGGTTGTAATTTTTTTTGTTGAAATTAAAAAGAACACATTTCATGAGTTTTTTATTTTACTTAATAATCACGTAAATACAATGACCAAAAATCCATATACCTATATTTATACTAAACACTAATAAATATCTAAATATGTACAAATCCTATGTATATATGTACACAATCTACATAAAGTGTGTTTTGTGTTTGTGTGTCTATATATGGACTAATTAGAATTTCTATGTTTTCACTAAGAAAAATTCCACATTTTAGAAATTTTTATTATTTAATTTTCCGTCAGGGAATTTTTTTTTTAATATACCTTTTTAATTTTTTGAAATTTTGTGCACATTAAAAATATTTATTTTTTTTTTCTTTCTCTTTAAATAATAATTTTTTATTTCTTTTTAAATAAAATCACAAGGATATAGTTTTTAAATGAATTTTTTGTAAAGATTGTTTTCAAGTGTGTGTTTTTAATTTCTTACGCAATTTACTTTCATATATATAGCGATTTGAATCAAAATTCTATTTATAACTACTTTGGACAGTATTGAAAAAAATATTTTTGTTAAAAAAATTATTCTGAATGTTTAATAAATGAATTTTTTGTAAAGATAACAAAAATAAATCATTAGCAATAGATAAATAATGTTAAATATAAATAATATTAAAAATATATATTTTTATTTTTTAGACATCTTTTTTTATAAACAAATTGAAAAAAAGTAATATGTTCAAAAATTTAGAAAGAAAATTATCAAAAATTTTAGAATATTGGTTTATTTCTAAACTTTCAGGAAGAATGGTCGAAATGATTAATTAATTATTAGAAAATAGATTACGATCTTGCACAGTTATTTACTTTTTATCATGTTCCCGTAATTCCTCCAGGTACTTAAGTTACATTTATTTCACTACAAACTAACAAATTTCGAAATAGCTTTTAGAATAAGTGCTTCTGAGTGGTTATCCATTAGAATTTTACGCGACATCAAAAATTCATCAAAAAAAAGAAGGTAGAAAAAAATTAATAACAATAATTTGCAAAGCTCATGAATATCAATAAGTAAAATGGAAGATATTTGCCAAAGTTCTTTGAAGTTTGTTTTCAATAAAAAAAGATTCCAGTCGGTCAGTTTTTTAAACAAAATAATTGTGATAAATAAATTATTTAGTATTAATTAACTTAAAAATTAGTAGACCTATTTGTAAAAACCTGAGAGAATGCTCACTAGTAGTGTATAGAATATTTTTCACGTATTCCTCAACTATATAATATATATTAAATTAAAAGTATTCATTTCTAAAAATTTGCGAAATTTTTTTTTTCATTCATAGACGCAGTGGGCAAACATTTAGGTCCTTTTCTTTCTTAATGTTATCTCTAATTTATGTCTAAAAATTTAGTCGTCAAATTCGTGCATTTGCGACGAGCTCCATCCAATATTCATCAGTAATCTGAAAATTACACATTATTAGTGAAAAATTTTAATATAATAAATAAAAAATATACAAAAAATATATCTTAAATAAAAAACAAAAATAACTTTGAAAATTTTAACTTTAAAACTAACCATAAAAAACTAATAAAAAAACTTATACGAATAAATAATAATGTTAATAACAATAAATAACAAAAATGTTAAAAATAATGAAAATACAGTCAACTCTCGATAATATTTGAATCTCACGAGACATAAAAAAATAAAAATTATCGAAGGTTTTATTTATCGAATGATTTTAGTATTAAAATATTTTCTACGGACCCAAAATCAACTTCAATTTATCGAAACATCAATTATCGAGAGATGACTGCAGTAACAAAATTAGTAAAAATAATGACAAAAATAATAAAGGTTCCAAAAAAAAAACAAAAACAATGACAAAAATATTAAAAACAAAGAAGGAAAGAATAAAAATAACAAAAACAACAATGACAAAATTAACAAAAATAATAAAAATTATGACAAAAATGATAGAAATAATAAAAATATTAAAATTAAAAATAAAGAAGAAAATAATAAAAAAAAACAAAAACAATGACAAAAATGATAAAAATATTAAAAACAAAGAAGAAAGGAATAAAAATAACAAAAACAACAATGACAAAATTAACAAAAATAATAAAAATTATGACAAAAATGATAGAAATAATAAAAATATTAAAATTAAAAATAAAGAAGAAAATAATAAAAAAAAAACAAAAACAATGACAAAAATGATAAAAATATTAAAAACAAAGAAGAAAGGAATAAAAATAACAAAAACAACAATGACAAAATTAACAAAAATAATAAAAATGATAAAAATAATACAAATATTAAAAAAAAAGAAGAAAAATAACAAAAATTAGGACAAAAATAATAGAAATAATAAAATTGATGAAAACAAGAATAAAAGTGAAATAAAAATGACATTAATAAAGAAACGCTAATGTTTTAATTTAAAAAATCATATCGCAATGCAATTATTACACTGCTCTTCATTTAATTCAAAATACACTGAAACTCGAGTAATTGAGACACTAATACATTCTTCCAAAATCACGTCTCAATAACTCGAGTTCAACTGTATTAAAAAAAAAAAAAAAAAAAAAAAATCAGAATTCAACCCACGTTTTTGCAGTTTCCATGAAACCTTTTGGACCGCATGAGAAGATACAAGCTTGCTTAACTGGATTGCCAATTAATTCGGACATTAATTCACTCGAAATTTCTCCCTTCCTTCCATTCCAAGTATCATTAGGTTTTAACAATACTTGCGTTACTTTCAACCTAAAAATAAGAAAGAGAAAACAATTTATAATTTGCCACATAGATAAAAAAAATTTCTAAAGAATATAACTTACTTTTTATCCGCAGAAACTCGCTCTAATTCTTTAGAATAAAAAATGTTGTCTTCATCTTTGTTAAAATTAACCAAATTTACTAAAATTCTGTAAAGAGAGAGAAAGAGCGATTTTTCATAATGAATAAATGAGAATTATGTAGAATATTTAATAAAGCAATTATATAGCAGAGAGGATTTAAAGCAATTTGCAAAGCGTCGACGATAAAAAAAAAGAAAAAAGATTTTAAAAATTAAAAGAAATAAAATCAATAAACAAATTAATACATAAATTTCAGATAATTGTAAAGAAATTAAATTATTATAATTTATAAAAATTATAATTTACAGACAATTGTCAATGAATTGAATTGAATGAATGTCTCAAGGGAGATGAAAAAATTCAAATTATCGAATGATTTAGAATAAAAATTTTTTCTAAGAGACAAAAGTTAACTTTAATTTTTATCGAAAGGTCAATTATCGAGAGATGACTGAAATTGTAAAAATAAAATAAATACATAATTATAAATATAAAATAAATTTGAAGTAGTAAAAACGTTTACTAATTTACATTCGTGATTGACTTTTTGTTTTTGAAGTAGTACATTTTACTAATAAATTAGTAGAAATTACTGTTCATTAGTAAAATAAACTTTTTGCTTTTGAAGTAGTAAATTTTACTGATAAATTAGTGGAAATTAGTATTTAGTAAAATTACCTACTATAAGTAAAATTTACTAATTCAAAAACTAATAGAGAGTCACTAATTAAAATTATAAAAATTTTTACCAATTCAAATTTTGGAGAATTAATTCCCACGTGAAACGATTCTATACGAAAACCGTAAAATAAAGTAAAATTAATAAAAAAATTTTTTAATTAAAAAACTACAATAATAAGAAAATGATAATAATTATAATGATATTATAATATTATAATAATAATAATTAAAAAGTATAAAAAACTGTTACCAAATCCAATTGGATTTGGTAAAAGATTAACAGTTGTTTATTAGCTAAGTATTTTTTTCCATGTAAAAAATTAATAAAAATAATTAAAAATTAAAAAAAATATAATAAGGAAATTTTAAAAAATATAAAAAACTGTGTTACCAACTTCAATTGGAGTTGGTAACAGTTTAACAGTCTTTTATCAGCTAAGAATTATTTTTTGTGTAAAATTAATAAAAAAAATTTTAAATTAAAAAAAATAATAAGGAAATATTAAAAAGTATAAAAAACTGTGTTACCAAATCCAATTGAAGTTGGTAATAGTTTTTTATCAGCTAAGGATTTTTTTCCGTGTAAAATTAATAAAAAAATTTTAAATTAAAAAACTATAATAATAAGGAAATAAAATTAAAAAGTATAAAAAACTGTTACCAAATCCAATTGGAGTTGGTAAAGGATTAACAGTATTTTATCAGCTAAGGATTTTTTTCCGTGTAAAATTAATAAAAAAATTTTAAATTAAAAAACTAAAATAATAAGGAAATAAAATTAAAAAGTATAAAAAACTGTTACCAAATCCAATTGGAGTTGATAAAGGATTAACAGTTTTTTATCAGCTAAGGATTTCTTTCCGTGTAAAATTAATAAAAAAAGAATTAAAAATTTTAAAAAATGTAATATTAGGGAAATATTAAAAAGTATAAAAATATGTGTTACCAACTCCAATTGGAATTGGTAACTGTTTAACAGTTTTTTATCAGCTAAGGATTTTTTCCGTGTAAAATTAATTAAAAAAATTTAAAATTAAAAACTATAATAATAAGGAAATAAAATTAAAAAGTATAAAAAAAACTGTTACCAAATCCAATTGGAGTTGGTAAAAGATTAACAGTTTTTTATCAACTAAGGATTTTTTCCGTGTAAAATTAATAAAAAAAGAATTAAAAATTTTTTAAAATATAATATTAATGCAATAATATGAAAAAGTATAAAAAACTGTTACCAACTACCAATTAGAGTTGGTAACAGTTTAACATTTTTTTTAAATTTATCGAAAACTCTACAAAAATATACTATCTAAATCTGAATTAATAGAAAGTTACTAATGAAATGACGAAAAGTCTTCCACTAAATGATTTAGTAATAATTTTACTAACAAACAGTGAAATTTTACTAATTTATTATTAGTAGATTTTACTGATTGCTTAGTAGAATTCTACTAACAATTAGTAGAACTGTTTTATTAATAGTCGATAAAACAGTTTCACTAATTCATTTAGTGAAATAAGTGACTTTCAATTAGTGGAATTCTACTAAAACATTAGTAAAATTTTACTAAAAATTAGTAATATTCTACTAATTTAAAAGGGGAAAAGTTTTTTTAGAGAGTAGGTTGCAAAATAAAAATGAATACTTAAAAAAAATACATTATAATAATCGTAAGTTTCCTTTCCGTTAGCAAATTATCTTCATTCATTTGTTTGTTTTGAAAATTAAATTTTGTGGGTTAAGTATTGGCATTTTTTATATTTTTTAATGTCAAACTTTTTAATGTGTTCTGATGTGTTTCAATGGTTATGTTTTATATTATTATGTGTTTAATTCAATTTTTAACTTTTCAACTATCATTCATTCTGAAGGTAAATACTTTTTTATAATTTAATTAAATGTATTATATAATTTAATGTTAACATTATTTCTATATTATTAAAAAAAAGTTATTTGATATAACATTCAATTGAATTTTATTTTCATAAATTGCTTAATTACAGAATATTTAGTTTTTTAACTTTTTAATAATTTTTTAACTTGCAAAACTCTAAATACTGTAATTATTAAAAATATAATATTTATTTTCAATAATTTTTGACAGATATAATTATTATTAAAAATAATTTCTATATTATTAAAGACTACAACATAAATTTAAATTATCAAAGTATATTTTACAAAATAGTCATTTAATACAATTTTTATTTCTTATAATTTTTATTACATAAAAATATTGTTTAATATAATGTTAATTTTATAAACTTTTAACATTTTTTTATGTTTTAAATTAATACGTGATTCACAGAATATTCAACTAATCAATGAAAATATATTGTCAATTTTTTCAATTAAAAATATATTACATCAAATATCTTTTCTCTATATTTAAATAATGTTAACATTAAATTATGGACACATACCTGCCGAGTAAATGATAATTATAAAGTTAAAAATTCAATTAAACAACCAATGTATAGAATTAAAATTTTGGGGCTATGGTACGCCTAAAATTCGCCTGGCATTTTTTTTCGTTGTTTCTAAAAACAAATTTAGAATTTTTTTTAATTTGATGCTTCATTATATTATATTACATCTTGTAATTAAATAATTAATGCAAGTTATAATTAGTATTTTTACTACAGATTTTTTGTTTTCCAAAGAAATTAGAATTAAAAGTTCATGTTTAACTTTATCATTTTCAATTAATTTAATATTTTGCAATTATGTTAGATTCGAAAGATACGAAATTCTTTATTTAAAAAGCTAAATGAATAATTATTTTTTTAATTTTTAGAATAATTAAAAGTTTCGTTATCAAAATTATTTTTAATTTTTAAATTATTTGGAAAATAAAAGTATAAAATATGTAACAATTTTTGCGATATTCAATTTTCTTTGTACAACATGAAAGTTTAACAGCAGTAATAGCATTTTAACAAAATTTATCGGATTCACTTGTAATTCGTTTCTAATGCGTTAAATTTGACATTAAATTTTAGAAATTCAAAATAGAACTTCCTTTTCAGGATTCCTACAGAAATCCGAATTTAAAATTCTATATACCTTTTCGATGATTTCCAGGTCAAATTTTTACGAAATTCCAGTGGAATTTTAAATCTAATTTCAATATTTTTGGGCTCTTTAAAAACATTTTACTTATTTAATAGTCTCCACCCTTTGGTAAAAATTCTAAAATTATCAAAATTTATAAAAAATTCGAAAAACCGATTTTTTTAAAATTCAACATTTTTTCCTCTCTTTTATAAGATTTAGCTTCATTATTTTTGTGCTCTTGGAAAATACTTTACTTATTTAATAGCCTCGACTCTTTGGTAAAAAATCTAAAATTATCGAAAATTATCAAAAATTCAAAAATCCGAATTTCTTAAAATTCAACATTTTTTCCTCTCTTTTATGAGATTTAGCTTGAATTTCTATTCAAGAGAAAAAATGAAAAACTGAAAAATTTAGAAACTTTTAAAAATTTCAGGCTTTTTCCATGATTTCCCTGATTTCCAGAAGCCTTTTAAAAATTCCATACCATTTCCATGATTTCTATATGATTTCCAGATTCTGTAGGAACCCTGCTTTTGTCTGACTTTCTTCTAAATTATCGAATTCAGTGATTTCTGGGGTGAATTTGGTTAAGTTTTAAAATGATTAATTTCTATTTGAATTCGTTTTTTTTTTTAATTTAGAAAATCTGATGTTAATTTAATTCTTTTTTCGTTATGCACGGCAAAAAATATTTAGCTGGATAAACTACAGATTTCACTTTAGTAGCGAAATTTTTCAGTGCTTCAATTAATACTTTCGTTATTCTAGAGAAACTTATCGCTATTTCAAGTAAAACTTTTTTCAGTGTGTAATAATTATTATTTCTTAAAAATGTATTTAAATTAAAATGGGTTTATAAAATAAGCAATGCAAAAGATGACCCAGATACTAATTGGAATTGTTCTATCCATAGTTTAAGTCTAGTAATGTAAATTCTATTTAAATTGAGACCATTGAGTGAAATTATTTGAATTTTAGTTAGTTAAATCTCTTTGTTAGGTAATAATAATTATTTCTTTAAAATTTTTTAAATTGTTTAAAATAAGCAGTTCCATACAACATTCCCGCGCGGATAGTGTGGCTAGTAAATAAATAAAAGAAAAGAAATTGGAAATAACTTACACATTGCGTCTGCAAAGTGCTCTTTGGATAATTCCAAGCATTGCAGTTAAACCAGTACCCGCAGCCAACATGTGAATTGTCGAATAGATGTCAAAGGATTCAACAGTGAAGGTGCCTAGTCCACTGCTCAAACTCAATGTTTGCCCTGGCTGTAAAGCAGTCATGGACGGAGTGAGTGCCCCTTCTGGATAATTTTTTACCATAAGACATATACAATCGGACGTGTAATTGGGCGCCATATCATCGGGATGAAGGCACGGAGGGACAGGTGTGTACATTCTAGAAACTTCAGTTCCTAAAAAGAAAAAAAAACAATTTTTACAAAAAAAAATCTTTGGCTGTGTTTTTTGGTTCAAATAAAAAAAAAAAAAAAAAGAATATTATCTCTCCACGCAGTGGAAAAACATTTATTCTAATCAAATAATAGCCTACTTGACTATTTTATTTCAAAATAAAACAAAAAGATAGATAAAATAAAAAAATACAGTAAAAATGGGTCAATTAGTAACAATGGGGTAAAATAAGTAACAAGAATTTAAATTTTAGATGTTCATTATCATTATTATTATAATTATCATAAGTTCATTAAAGACGTTTTTGTTTTCTGATTTTTATAATAAGGACAGTTCTTGTAAATTTTTGATTCACAAAGACCGAACAATAAAAATGTTTATTTATTTTTTCAATTATTTTAATGTTATTAATAAACATCCTAAATTATAATTTGAAATCTTGTTACTTATTACCCCACTATTATTACTAATTGTCCCATTTAACTGAACAAAAATAAAGAAATAAATAAAATTCAAAATTTTGAATTTTATTTATTTCTTTATTTTTAATTATTTTTTTATTAATTATTATTTTTAATTTCAAAATATCAAATTGCAACGAATTGATATCAAAAAGTGAATCAAATCATAATTTAATCAAAATTTTTATATCATTTCGATACAATTTGATGCTTTCAAGAAAACTGTGAAAATAAAAAAATACATATTAAAAAATAAATGAATAAAATACAATAAATAAATAATTCGAATCAAATAAATTCTATTCGAATCAATAATCTCTGATTTTGAAGCAAAATACTATTTGGATTTTAATAAAAATTATGAGAATTGCCACAAAACATTAATTTTGTTTTTCCCTGACTTTTCCCTAATTTCCAGGCAAAATTTTGAATTCTTTCCTGATACATAAGAATATTCTGATTTATTCTAAAAAATTATTAGATACTCAAAAAATTATTATATTACATTTATTTAAAAATTTCTTTAATTGTAAAATTATACGAAAAAATCAATAGCTTCTTTTTTAAAGTAAATATTTAATCATTATTATTATTCCATAGGAAATAAGATTATCAAAAAATTTCCAATTCAAACCTTCATGAAATTCAATAACTTTTAAGAATATTATTATAAAACATTATAAGATATCAATATCTTTGTTTGATATCTTTATGTTTTATAATAATTTAAATTTTCATAATATTTTTCAATCAGAAATTAAATTATTTACTAAATTTTTAATAAAATCGTTCTCTAGATTTAAATTATTTTTACAAGTTAGTAATAAAACTTTTCACATGAATTAAGTTATTTAAAAAAGTGTAATAGAATTCTTTGTAAGAATTCAATTATTTTCATAAATAATAAAATTTTTCATAGAATTTCAATTATTTTTATAAATAATAAAACTCATCGCAGAATTTCAATTATTTTTAATGAAGTTTAAAATAAATTCCTCGAAAAATGTAATTATTTTCAAAATTTTTTGCAAGAATTCAATTACATTTTATAAATAATGAAATTTTTTGTTCAAATTCAAATATTTTCAAAATCTAATATTTTAATAAAATTTCTCAAAAAAATTCAACTATTTACAAAAAATGTAATAAAATTCATTGCAGGAATTCAATTATTTTCATAAATAATACAATTCTTAATAGGACTTCAATTACCTATCTGAAAAAAATGTAATAAAAATTTGTTGCAAGAATTCAATTACTCTCATAAATAATAAAATTCTTCACAGAATTTCAATTATTTTTGAAAATTCATGCTATAATGCGTTTAATATTCAATTATTATCCAAAATTATAACTAAAATTAATTTTTAAATCAATTTTTTATTACAAAATTCCGCAAAATTCTACTAGAATTAATTATGTAACTACAAAAATAAATAATTTATTGAATAATTGAATGTTTCTTAAAATTAAATTCTCATAAAGAATTTTATTAAAAAATTTTTAAATAATTGAATTCTTTCGTCGAATTTTAATAAAATTTTTAAAAGAAAAAACATTTTTCGAGAAATTCGATTAAAATATTGAATTAAAAATAATTGAAATTCTGCGATGGGTTTTACTGTTTTTTTAGAATAAATAATTAAATTCCTGCAAAGAATATTATTATTTATGAAAATAATTGAATTATTGTCAAGAAATTTTTAAAAAATTTGTAAATAGTTGAGTTCCCATGAAATTTTTATTATTTATGAAAATAATTTAATGTTTGCTTAGAATTTTATCAACTGATTTTTTTAAAATTAATTAATTTATTTTGGAAAATTTTATTAAAATAGTAGATTATTGAAAGTCATTGAATAAGAGTGAATGTAATACAATCAATTCTGGATAATAAGAAACTTTCGATAAATTGAATTTTTCTATGTCCCTTGAGAGTCGACAGTAATAAAAATAATATAATCAATCAAATAAAATAATAAAAAAAAAATATTTAATAATTAATTAGAAAAATATATTTATTTTTCAATTAAAAATAAAATTTATTTAAAAAATAATTTATAATAAATAATAAATAAAAATCATTCTCGAGTTGGAAATATTTTTCTTTAAAAAGAGAAGAAAATCTACCTAAAACACTTTTTTTAGCTTCTAAATGTCGACCAATCGGAACAAGCTCCAAATAGTCTTTTGCTCTTAGAACCATTAGATGAACCACTTTGCAAAGTAAAGTATTGCTAATGACTTCGTAATCTTTGTATAATCTCTCTTTAAATTTTTCCTTAAATTCAGTGGTTCTTGTTCCAAAGGTTTTCCATAGAGCTCCAGTCTTTTTCGTAAATATGAAATTCACCTGAAATAAAAGACAATAATAACTAAACAACTCCATCACAATTTTAGGGGAAAATTATTTACTTTTTCCTTGTAATATAAATAAAATAAAATAAACATTACGGAAAAGTTTGATTACAAAAAAGCGGTTTTCCGAATTTAATCAAAAAATTCAAAACTGTTTACATTTTTTAAAACTATTTTATACTAAATTTTCTTTGATCACTAGAACAAAAAGCTGATGCTATTTAGATTCTACAATAAGGGGAAATTAACTAAAAAAAAAGAAAAAAAATAACACTGCTTTCTAGAAAACAAAATAATTATCATAAATAAATAAACAATGCATAAATTTTTTAAACAAAAAATGTCTTTGATTACTAGAACAATTATTATCAAGACAAAGGAAACAAACGATAATTAGATTCTCCGTGCAAATTAACTAAGAAGAGAAAAAATTGAAAACATTTCTCTGCATCAAAAAAAAAAAAAAAAAATATCACTATTATCATAAATATAAAAAAAATTCTATATTAATATCAATTACCTCCATTGTTTCGTGATTTTTCGTCCATTGTGGAGGCCATTTAACTTCTCCGGCTAATTGAAATTCATGACTAACGACGTCTTTTTCAAAATTTCCAAAACTAAATGCTATCTCAATTTTTGAATCGTCTATTCTTGTTAATTGATAATTAGCCGCTGGATAATTAATCACTGATTGATAAAAAAATTTTATGGTGTTTGTGGTTTGTTTCCAATTCATTCGTACATTTGGAATTGAACTGGAACTCGAAGCAGACTCATCTCTCGGTTTATCTAAAATTTCAATTTAAATTATATTTACTGTCTCAATAACTGAGGTTTAAGTGAATTGCAAAAAAAAAAAATGTTTATATTGTTTGCTAATTATTATTCTCGTTATTATTGTTACTGTTACTATTACTATTATTATTAATAATATAATTATTATTCCACATTATAATATTGAACCTCAATTAAAGGAAAACGTGAGTGTCTCAATAACTGAGGTTTAAGTGTATACAAAAAATAATTTTTAAATGATTTATTAATTATTTGTTATTGTAACTAACACTATTATTATTAATTATTATTAATTAATTAATAATATAATTATTATTCCACATTAAAATATTGAACCTCAATTAAAGGGAAACGTGAGTGTCTCAATAACTGAGGTTTAAGTGTATACAAAAAATAATTTTTACATTATTTATTAATTATTTGTTATTGTAACTAACACTATTATTATTAATTATTATTAATTAATTAATAATATAATTATTATTCCACATTAAAATATTGAACCTCAATTAAAGGGAAACGTGAGTGTCTCAATAACTGAGGTTTAAGTGTATACAAAAAATAATTTTTACATTATTTATTAATTATTTGTTATTGTTATTATCACTATTATTATTAATTATTATTAATTAATTAATAATATTATTATTATTCCACATTAAAATATTGAACCTCAATTAAAGGGAAACGTGAGTGTCTCAATAACTGAGGTTTAAGTGAATACAAAAAATAATTTTTATATTGTTAATATTTTTACTACTAATAATTGAGAATTATAAATAGACAAAAAAAGTACCTCAATATTATCTGTAAGAAAATAAATGTAGAAAACAAAAAAATAGAATGTTATAAGAAATATTAGTTTACTTGGAAGATCAGTTTTGATTGTTGGAAGAACAAAGTTGTCTAGTGTTAGAGAATGTTCCGAAATGGAATTGGATCGTGTGAGCCTTCCGACAACGCATTTTTGCAGAATACTTTGATAATTAACCCATGCGTGGACCTACAATTTAAAAATCTACGAGTATACATGAAAACAATTACCAATTGAATGGTAAATTTTTTACTACATGAAAAATTAAATAGACATTAATGGCTTACGTTATCGAAAATTTTTGTCGCATCTTTTCCCACGCCCTTCATTAATTCCTCAATACCTCCAGGATGAAATTTCATATATTGCGTCACATTAAACACCACTCCTGTGAAATAAGGAGAAAATTAACTATGATAATCGACATTAATATTATAATTACAATTAAAATTGAAATAAAAATAGAAATTAAAGTTAAAAATAAATTAGAAAATTAAAATAAAAAATTAAAGTTAAATTTCAAGATAAAAATTAAAAATAAAATTAATAATAAAGTTAAAACTTGAAAATTAAAATGGAAGTTAAAATATAATTGAATAAATAAATAAATAATAAATAAATAATTAAAAATTATGTTATTTAAAAATAAATCAAAGTTCATTGCAGTCAAACCCTGTTACGAGGTTTTGATCCCAAGAAAAGAGGTTTAACTGTAGCATAGAGAGAAATTACGAAAACTCGCAATTCTTTCAATAAATATTGAAGAATATCTAAAATTTTCTGTTAATTTTTTTTCGTATTTTCTGCATATACGATACAGTTAAACCCCCTTTCTTAAGACCAAACTTTATTTAATTAGATTTGACTGTAATAAATTTTGATTAATATTTTCAAATTATTTTCAAAAGTAATAAAATTATTATCACAAAATTAAATTATGTTCAAAATTTACAAAAAAAAAAATTACGACAAAATCCCAATTATTATTTTTATAAATAAAAAAATTCTTCTACAAAATTCAATAATTGTTAATAAAAATTTTCAATATCTCTATTATCATAAATAATAAAAATTTCACAGGAATTCAAATATTCACAATTTTTTTTTTATAAGTTTCTTCTCAATAATTAAATTACATTCATAAATAATAAAACTCATTGCAGAATTTCAATTATTTTTAATACAATTTTTATCAAATTCCTTGAAAAATGTAAGTATTCTTAAAAATTTTATAAAAATTTGTCAAAAGAATTCAATTATTTTAAAATTTGATAATAAAATTATTTATAAGAATTAAATTCTAAGAAACATTCAATTATTCAATAAATAATTTAATTTTGTATTTGAATAATTGAATTCTTGTAGAATTTTCTAATAAAAATTAATAAAAATTTCTAATAAAAATAAAAAAAAATTCTAATAAAAAATAAATCATAAATAATAAAACTCATCGAGAATTTCAACTATTTTTAATACAATTTTTATCGATTTCCTTGAAAAATGTAACTATTCTTAAAAATTTTATAAAAATTCGTCAAAAGAATTCAATTATTTAAAAATTTGGTAATAAAATTCTTTATAAGAATTAAATTTTAAGAAACATTCAAATATTCAATAAATAATTTACTTTTGCATTTTAATAATTAAATTCTCGTAGAATTTTCTAATAAAAATTAATAGAAATTTTAATAAAAATTTCTAATACAAAAAAAACTAATAAAAAATAAATAATAAAACTCATCCAGAATTTCAATTATTTTTAATACAATATTTTAATCGAATTTCTTAAAAAATACAATTTATTAGGGTAGAGTGGGGTAAAAAAGCCACATTTTTACTTTTGATGCTGTAAAATCTGTATTTAAAATTTTTTTCTCAAATTTCCAATTGTTATTGAAAGTTTAGTTATTAAGCTTGAAAATTCTTGACGGAAATATTTTTTATCTCATGAAAGGACTAAGTTATAAGAGTTTTACGGAAGCACTGTAAGTGGCTTTTTTGCACCACCTGGTGGGGTGAAAAAGCCACCCTACGATTTTAGCAAAACATGTTATCAATTTAGGTATTTTTATAGTTTTCCTTTATTTATATGACAAATAGTCTTATTTGAAAAATATTTTAATAATTATGAAAGAGTTTTTAGCAAGCAAAATTGAAAATTATATAGAGTTTACCTGTTTTCGATTTGCACTGCCAATTTTTCGTACCTTTTTTAGAAGTTCTCTTTAAGTTTCACCACAGATAACATATTTCGTTGCAACCGTTTATTCATTGTTTATTTTTTTAATGCACTTTGAACTACTTTTTCGTCGTGTTTAATTTATTTTATTAAATAAACACGAGAAATTTTGTAAAATAAGAAGGTTAGTTTAAATAGAAAACAAGTGAATTTCACAAAATATTCAATGGATTTTTTGCCCTGGCTTTTTTACACCCAAGACTAGTTATTAAAAAAAGCAAAAATAAATTGTTAATTCAGTTCAATTTCCAAAAATTAACATTGTATACGTTTTCGGTATGCTTTTCTCCTTATGTACAAACATTTATTTTTATTATTCGTTCACTTAATCAGACTGTAATATGTTTGAAAAGTTCACCAAAATGTTTTCAAAAAAGCAACAAAAAATTAAAATTACAATAAAAACAATATTAATCTAGGTACAACATTCAAACTAGATTCAAAAGTTGCGTATTACCTAATAGTATTTATATTCTAAACAGCTGATAAATCGGCTTAATAGTTTTTAAATAAAACTCAAATGGCTTTTTTACACCATGGCTTTTTTACCCCACTCTACCCTATTCTTAAAAATTTTATAAAAATTCGTCAAAGGAATTCAATTATTTAAAAATTGGGTAATAAAATTCTTTATAAGAATTAAATTTTAAGAAACATTCAATTATTTAATAAATAATTTACTTTTGTATTTTAATAATTAAATTCTCGTAGAATTTTCTAATAAAAATTGATTTAAAAATGTATTTTAGTTAAAATTCTAGATAATAATTGAATATGAAAATAATTTTTAAGAAGTTACAATAACAATATTCTTATAATATAAAATGGAAAAAATTATTATAATTAAATATTTATTTAAAAAAGATGTTAGTGCTGTTTTTGAATAATTTTGCAATTAAAGAAATTCGTAAATAAATGTAACAGAACATTTTTGAGTAAATTTTTTTCCTTTTTTTCTAAAAATTTAAAAATTTCCCTTTCCAATTAAACTTTGTAATTGACAAATAGAATTTATAATTTTTTTTTTTTTTTTTGCTTTATTTTTGAAAAACTTTGAATTTTATTTAAAAAAGTTTAATTAAGTTAAAATACAATTAAAAATTATTTTATTTAAAAATAAATCAAAGTTCATTACAGTCAAACCCTGTTACGAGGTTTTGATCCCAAGAAAGAAGGTTTTACTGTATCATAGAGAGAAAATACGAAAACTCGCAATTCTTTCAATAAATATTGAAGAATAATTTAATTTTTTTTCGTATTTTCTGCATATACGCTACAGTTAAACTCCCTTTCTTGAGACCAAACTTCATTTAATTAGGTTCGACTGTAATAAATTATTAAATTTTTCGATTGAAAAAATGTTCAATTGTTTTTTAATTTCTTAATTGAAAACTTTAATATTTTAATTTATTAATTCAAAAATTTATTATTTACAAAATATTAAATAAAATTAATTACAGTCAAACCTTATTAAACATGGTTTCGTCCCAAGAAAGTTGGTTCAACTGTAGTACATACAGAAAGTACGAAAAAAAAATACAAACAATTTTTGTTTCAATAAATATTGAAAGAAAATAATTATTTTCTCTTTAATTTTTTTTTTCAATTTTTTTGTTATAATTTATAAACACCTCTTATTGCAATCCACGCGTCGTTCTCCTTATTGTGTTTTGCTAATTCGGCCATTGTAATAACTTGAGGAATACCGCCGACGCCAGTCAAGTCAATTCCCGTTGATCCCAATCTAATCCAATCCATGAGACTGAAACCGGGACCCAGGACAGTTTTATTTCGTGGATTTCCTATGAGAATAAAAACAATTTTCATCAAAACGTCTTCGCGCGGCTAAAAATAAATTACTCGCTGAGAGATGATGAATTATTGATTTTTACTATTATCTATAGAAAACATTATAGACCAACGGCTTATGTAGTCTAAACCATTATTCTCTTTAATCTCAATTGATTATTATTAGCATTTTTATATTATTTTATTTATTTTATTTTAAAAAATAAACGGAATAATTTTTTTCTATTATTAGTAGAAAAATTAATAATAATAATAACAATTATTAATAAATACTGTATTATGTAATAATATATATAATAAAAAATACCCTAATACAAATAATTATATTACAATTCTTATTATAATTATTATTATTAATATTTCCTTCTTGTTAAAACAGTTTTTAAATTATATTTTTATAATAAAAAACAAACTGAATTTATGTCTTTTTTACTACTATAAAAATAAAAATAAAATAATAATAATAATAATTAATTAATTAGTTTAGTTTACTACTATAATTATAATAATAATTATTATTATTATTATCCTTTTTATTATTATTCTCGATAATAAGAATTTAAAATAAGAATTTTTTTCTTTCAAATTTCCTCGAATAATACCATGAACTTATTTCTTCGATAATATCAAGAATTATTTTCTTGATAATATCATGAATAATTATTTTAATATCGCAACAATACTTTCTTGATAAAATAGAATTTTTTATTTCTTATTTCATATTCATATTTATATTTTTAGATAATATAAAAAATGTTTTTTTTATGTCACTAATTTCGAATTTTATTAATAACTATTAAGAATAATGTGAAAAGAAGTACATTAATTTTGTAAAGAACTAAAAATCTAAATTATATTTTTGAAATTTAAAAAAGTTGGTTTTTGGAATAATAAAAAAAAAATAAATTTATATGGTTTTTTTCAAATTCCACTTTTCTTGAATTGTTTTCGTTCCTCCATTTATGAAACATATCACGAAGTACATTATTCTTAGACACAAATATAAATTCTCCAGTGATGTGCAAAAATACAGAAAAGTAGAACGCAATCTGCCCTTAGGGGGTCGAAAAAATATTCTTATTGACTCTTTCAGTTTCTATTCGAAATCTACATTTTTCTAATAACAAGACCCTTGAATGAAATCTGTGTATATGTAAAAAGGATGATGCAAATTGTCAATAATTCATGATGTCCTATTTTTCTCCAAATGCCCCGAGGGTTCGCAATTCTTCTCCTGCGATTGATGAAATTTTCTTTTTGACATTTTTATTTTTATTACTTTTCTTATTAATAGTATTGACAATATTTTTTTTCTGTTATTTTTATTATTAATATTGATATTATTATTTTTATTTTTTTTATTATCATTTCTTCTATAATTGCTCTTTTTCTCTTTATTATCGTCATATTCAATTATTGTTTTTTCGTTTATTTTTAAATCTTCATTTTCAGATTGTTTTAAAATTCTATTTCCACAATTAAATTTTCTTCTTTATTTTTCTCCTTTCATTAACTTATGTTTAATTAAAGCTTTCAACTTTTGTTTAAATCAAGAATTTTACTTCTGCTTCATTTCAATATTTAGCATTTTGTTTCATTTCAATATTGAACTTTTTGTTCCAATTAAGTATTCAACTTTTTGTTTTATTTCAATAGTTCTACTTTTTTAAATTTAATATTTGACTTTTCTTCATTTAAATATTTGATATTTTTCTTATTTCAATAATTGAAAAGTAATTTTTACTATACTCTAAATTGACTCAATTTTTACCACGTTTAGCGAGTAAAATTTACTATTTCCAAAGTAAATTTTTGTTTATAAGAGTTATTTATTTTTATTATTAAATTATTATTCTTTTTTTATTGATAAAATTGTTATTATTTATTTTCTTATAAGAAATTCAATTATTTTCAAAAGCAATAAAATTCTTATCACAAAATTCAATTATTTTCAAAATTTTCAAACAAATCTCGACAAAATCCCAATAATTATTTTTATAAATAAAAAAATTCTTCTTCAAAATTCAATTATTATTTTCAAAAATTTTCCTCATTTCAATAATTTTCAATATCTCTATTTTCATAAATAATAAAAATTTCACAGGAATTCAATTATTTACAAATTTTATTATAAGTTTCTTCTTAATAATTAAATTATTATTTTTATTATCATAAATAATAAAACTCATCGCAGAATTTCAATTATTTTTAATACAATATTTTAAGCAAATTCCTTGAAAAATGTAACTATTCTTAAAAATTTTATAAAAATTCGTCAAAAGAATTCAATTATTTAAAAATTTGGTAATAAAATTCTTGATAAGAATTAAATTTTAAGAAACATTCAATTATTCAATAAATAATTTACTTTTGTAAATTTTGTATTTAAATAAAATTGAATTCTAGTAGAATTTTCTAATGAAAATTGATATAAAAATATATTTTAGTTAAAATTTTAGATAATAATTAAATTGAAAATAATTTTGAAGAAGTTACAATAACAATATTCTTATAATATAAAATAATTATTTTATCTTTCGAACATTTTTAATTATTATAAAACAAGTAGAAATCGATCACTCCGAGTCTTCGACTCGGAGCAATCGATATCTTCATATTTTTTAGCAATATTTTTAAAGTTATTTAAATTCAAAAAGGTTTGAATTTTAAATTTTTGAAAATCTTATTTCCTACGGAAAAAATAATAATAATTAAATATTTATTTAAAAAAGAAGTTATTGATGTTTTTAAATAATTTTGCAATTAAAGAAATTTGTAAATAAATGTAACAGAACATTTTTTTGAGTAAATTCTTTTCCTTTATTTTCTAAAAATTCAAAAATTTTCATTTTTAATTAAGAATTGTAATTGACAAATAGAATTTATAAACATTTTTTTCCTTTAGTTTTAAAAAACATTGAATTTTATTAAGACAAGTGTAATTAAGAAATAGAAATAAAGTAAATTATTTCCTTATAAAAATTGAAAATTTTCTACAAAAATATTAAGAAACGGGAATATATGTAATGTTTTTTTCCAAAATAAAAGAATGAGTTTGCGAACAATATTGTTATTGAGAAATAAAAATTATGCATAAAATTTATTTACTCCTAATTCTTAATCATAATTTTTTTGACAATTTTCTATTTTTTATAAATAAACAAGAAAAAAATTTGCATAATTTAGATCAGTCAAACGAAATTTGTTATAGAAAAAATGCATATATAATAAACAAAATGGGTATTTATTTCATTTGTTAATCATCATTTTTTTTTAAATTTTTAATTTCTAATATTTATTTATTATGAATCATGAAAAAATACCTGCATATTTTTGATTTGTCAAACAATAATTTTTAAAGAAAAAAAAAACAAAATCATACACAAAAACTAACTTTCAAACTGCGAACAAGAATGAATGAATAAATATGAAGATTAATACAGTTAATTATCAATTTATTTAATAAATATTATTAAATTTTTCCCTATTTAACATTATTCGAAAAGAATAATTATTCTTACTCAATTTCAATTGTATTTCAATTACAACACAAATTGTGAAAATATTATAAAAATTCAACTAGAGAACAATTTTTCAAAAATTATTTACACTGACAAATTTTCGAAAAATAGGTTTGCAAATGCATTTACTGTAAAATATTGACATTTTTAATAACAAAATTTGCCTCGCGGAAATTTCAAATTTTACAGTTTTTACTCTGTAAAGACTAAAAGTCACTTTATATTTTTTTATCCACGTAGTAAAAAAAATAATTACTCAATTTCAATCCGAAAGAAATAAAAAAAAAAAATAGTAAAAAAGATGACCAATCGTAAAATTGCACTCACTCACTCTATCGATGACTTAATTGTCCAGAACAAATGTAATAAAAGTGAGATAATAAAAAGAATGGTGTTTGAAAACTGTTTCAAATAAATTGGTCAAAGACATAAGGAAGGAGAGAGAGAGAGAGAGAGAGAGAGAGAGAGAGAGAAAATAATAGGAATTTACGATGAATCGACTAATTGTCAATTACTCTAATTACTGACCGTCCTCAATCTGGAGGCCGAGGTTTTGTGGAGAGCCATCGCGGTGGTCCATGGTGGAAGCCAAAGGTGCCCCACAACATCGAGGCATTGTCTCATAGAAACCGAGTAATTATTATCGAGTCCATTTTTCAAACGGAAGGACATTGTCGTGTTTTAGTTCCCTTTTTTCATCAGCGGTGAATGAAAAAATAAAAGGCATCCGGAAATCGAAGAATAAAACTCGCAATTCAGGAAATTAAGTGCGATTTCTTTCCATCTCATACCTGACAATCAAGTTTTTTTTTAATATCAGGACAATTCCAGTTTTCATCAAATTTCTTTTCTCATTTTTTTTCTTTTTTTCTTTTTTTTTTTTAAAAATACTTTAATCAATTTTTATGATTGAATTTTACAAATTCTCTTTTGTAAATTCTTCAATAATTTTCAATATCTTCAAATTTATATTTTCTTTTTTTTTGGTAAAAAAAATCTTCAATCAATTTTTAAGATTGATTTTCAAAAATGTTTTTTCCAATTTTATTTTAAAATTCATATTATTATTTAGAAATTATAATTATTACAATAAGTATATTATCCTGGAGGAGAAATATCAATGAAATTTTATTCTAAATTTAAAATTCTTATTAGCTCCTTAAAAATGTAAAAAAATAATTTTCTTTTAATTTTAATGAAAATGAAAGTATAAATAAAAAAAAAATTAATTTTTGATAACTTGTAATAATTATGACAAACGTTTAAGTAATGAGTTTTCTCCTTCACTTGCAACCCCTCGAGCAGGGCATATTTCCCTTCTCATCCTATCATAAAGTTATTAAATCGTATCTCGTCGTTTTAATTGTCCAATTTATTTTACACCTTCTTCATTAAACATCTAATTATTATTAAAAAAAATAGGTAATAAATTTTCAAACAAAATGCAAAAATAAATTATTTAAATTCACATT